GGTAAGTGTGGGCAGTGGAAGGAAAATCGGGTCGGGTGTGTTACTGGGACGCTAGATGAGTTATCCACACTGATACGCTAAATATCTAAATATTAATATTTAATATTAAAATCAAGTTCCGCCCGTGACCTGTTTTTTCATTTCCTATTTTTGATCTGAGCAAAAAATCCAAACTATGAAAAAAACAAACCGTTGTTTGTTTTTTGGTATCAGATTCATAAATGAATAACGTAATAATGACTTGTTTTACCCCCACCTGTTTGTTTTTATATAATTTTAATTGTTGGATTCTAATAAACCAACCATGGCCTCAATAAGGAATATTTTAAGTATTTTAACACATTCAGTCCCCCTGTGCCTGTGCACCTCATAGTACTTATTTGAGCTGCTAAATTGTAACCCAAACCTAACCTTAACCTAAACCTAATTCTAATCCTAACCTTGAAGGCTCAGTGTGTAAAATTTAGTGACATCTAGTGGTGAAGTTGAATATTGCAGCTGAATACCCCTGACATCACCCTCCTCTACCAAACATGAAAGAGAACCTGTGGCCTTTAATTGTCATAAAAAACTCAAGAGGTGTTTAGTTTGTCCAGGCTGGGCTACTGTAAAAAACATGGTCATACAGAGGACCCACTCCTGATGTAAATAAAGTATTTAAATATAGGGCCAATTCTAGGGTAAAAAAATCATACAATTTAGATGATTACACACGAGTGAAAATATCACCAGGATAATGTTATCTTCATTTTCTGCCAATAGATCTCTTTCACCTGAAGTTTACACTGAATCTTTAAAAGTAAGTACTATCCTCACACCTTCCTCTGAAAAAAGACCAGCCAAAATGTCTTCACTTTCCAAAAATGTTGTCACTCTTCAAGGTCTATGCTCAAAATGGTCTTCACAAATATATAAGTACAAGTACACACACACCCACACAAAAATAGGAACAACGTTCATTGTGTGAATTAAAGTTAATGTCGTATATATTTATTATGAAGAATTATTCCACCCTTACCACAACCAACTATCAAAGTGGATCCACCTGCACATCTAGGCTCATCCCAAACAAGTCACAAAATCACTTTTGTCTTCAAAAGTGTTAGAATTTACAACCATCAGGGGACTCCTGGTTCTTTCCGCAGACTGTAAGGACATTTGCAGTATGGTTCCTGTATGTAATAATGATCTTTACTTGTTGTTGAGACTTACACTCGGCCGGAACCCAACCATGTTGATAAGTGGTTGACCTGAAGTCATTAGATCCTCTGAAGATATTTCTTAATCAAACAATCATGTAATTTGTCACTGTGGGATTTATGATGTCTGTGTAAGGAAGATGCCAGCCTGTCTGTCTGTGTGTCTAGAGAGTATCTTTTATTCCTTCTTCAGAATATAATACTGTGAAGCATCTGCTATACTCTAAGCTTTTTGATTTGACTTTCTCCATGTAAAATAGACCAAAAATCTTCACCGTCTATAGATCCAAAACAGCACTGCTGCTTAGAATTTAAGACAAGATGTTGAATTGTCCTTGTACGTTTGAAGGTCTTCTGTACAATTTAGGTTACGCTCTACCAGTAGCAGGTGTTAGTGGCCACCAGCAGATGTTAGGGACATAACTCAACTTGAGGGTAGGCTTAGGCTAAAAGTAAATCTGACTGGCTACTGGCTTGTATGGCAGTACTATGAATGCCATGTGGCTCAGACATCATTACCTCTACACCTTTTTAAACTAAACACTTGCCCTTTTTTGAACATAGGACAAGATGAAGAATAAGTAATGTACATTCTGCCACACTAATTAATGCCTACCGCCAGTTGATGTTATCGGATGATAGTGACCACCAGCAGATGGGACATTTCTTTAGTTGTGTACCTAGGGTCATCAGATGTTTCTGCCTTTTAATCGCAAGATACCCTCTTCTAAGGCAGGTTTATCAGACCTGGGTGCATGCCATTGCATCTTGGGGGCCAGCTGGGATCTTTCCTCCTGATCCAGAACCATTGGCTGCTGCATTCTGCAGTGTCTGATGTTTCTTTTATAATCTGGTGCAAGGCTTGTCCATGGATCCCCAGATCTTTGAGCAACCTAATGGTGGATGTTGCAAGGAAACACCTGCAGCCAACCTCCACAGGGCAAACTATTGCTTTCCAGCCACGTTGCTCTGCCTCAAATGCCATGTCTCCATACCACAGCCCTTTCCTGTCATTTGCTTCATCAACATTATCCTCCCAGGCTACTGTCAATTCCACAAAGTAGATTACGTGCAGGGTGTTGGACCAGAGTATCAGGTCTGGTCTTAGGGTGGTGGTGACAATATGTGATGGGACTGTAAGCCACCAACATCTCCCAGTCTTGGGCATGCTCCAACTGACCACTCCTGGTCAGTGAAGGAGGCCCTCTGTGTCCCTGTTCCCCCTCACAGAAAAATGTTTTTCTGTTTGATCTTTTGGATGACAAGGCATCGATAGAAGTTCTCCTGTTTCTATTATTGCTCCAAGGCATTTGAGTACCTGGTTGTGCCTGCACGTGTACATATCTTCGGAGAGACTTGTTCAAGTATGAACAACTGAGGCTCATCGAGTAGTTCCTTTATTCAGTCATCATCAATGTCCTCATCAGACAACTGTGCAGAATATATTTCTTCATCGCACAGTCATGTCACTTCACACTAATGTCATTCATGGCAATCATTCATGCATTTACTCTTTCCTTCTCATCTACGGTTATCCCGTCTTCACATCTAGGCCTATCCAAAACAAGTATAATAATAATAATTATCATTATTGTTGTCTGAATCCTGCAGCTCTGGAGTTTGAGATACCTGCAGAGAGTCTGACTGGCCACTGACACCCACAATCAGCTGATCAACAAGCATAGAGAAAGTGAGAGATTTGAGATTGATTGAATGGGGGAAAGTCTTTCAGATTGAATTGACCCTGAACTCAATCATCGTTCCTTTTTGATAAAGCCTGTAGTTATGACTGGATCGGGTGAGCTTCCCCCCCCACTTTCTCTCTTTCTCTCTCTCAGCAGGTATCTGACTCCAGAGCTGCAGGATTCAAACAGCAACTATTTTATTATTATTATTATTATTATGAATTGTTGCTGCTAACATTAATACATTTTTTACATCCAACTATCACTCTTATTTTTTTAATTATAACTCGTCTGTCAGAGCTTGAACATGATGGTACACAACTGTTCCTGGTCTCTCTCTCCTCTCTCTGGACAAACAAAACACCTTTTGGGTTTTTATGACAACTGAAGGCTACCACAGGTTCTCTTTCATGTTTGGAAGGGGAGGGTGAGGTGAGGGGCATTCAGCAGCAAAATGCAACTTCACCACTAGATGTCACTTAATTCTATACACTGAACCTTTACATGGATAATTTACTGAAAAATAAAAATTCACTCATTATCTACTCACCACAATGCCAAAGGAGGGGTGGGTGAAGTGTTTGAGTCCACAAAATACTTTTGGAGTTTCAGGAATAAACAGTGCTGCAGCCAAATCCAATACAATTGAAGTAGCAGGGACTCCTCAAACGTAAAAAAAAAGCCCTGACATTCCAATTTGACTCATACGGCATCATTTACATCATGTTTTAAGCCTAAATGTCCTCTGATATCCCCCTCTGGAACCGTATTCATGTTCGCACGCACACAAGCTCTCGCCCATGGGTACTTGAGGCCTATTTTAGATATATTATACATAATTTAATTATATAATAATAATTTACTCATACTATGCTCCTAGACAATAAGCACCTGTGAACATTCAATATGAGTTGTTTTCAAATTGTATTTGGTTAATTTCTATCTAAACATATACTTCCTGGTACGGGTCACCAACCAAAATAGAGTGAATGTAAGTGCTAAACGTTTGTCAACCACAGGAAATTGGTTGTTGCAGATTTTGACAAACAGGATGTGGTGTAAGTAATGTCTTTTATTGCTTACCCTGTTTGCTGTTTCAAAGTGTCGGCATGGAGGTACTGTGGACAATGACGTCAGTGCAATACCTAAAACCTTTCTGAAAATTGCAAACGGCATGAAAGTTGCCACAGTCGTTTAGAAAACATAATGAGGCTACATTTTGTGTCGATGAAGGCTACAGGATTGGCATTGTGTGTTGTGTTGTTTTTGTTGAGTCTGGTTTTAGTTTGTGCCCCACAACACTGCACCCCCAATAGATTTTAACACTAGGCGCCACTTGATTGGCGCACCCTTAATGATTATGTGACAAAACAAAATGGATGCCTCTCTTCCACTCTGCCAACAGTGTGTATGAATGTTAGCTTAGAAAACAAAGGAAAATGTGGCCAAAGATTAGGGAAAACATAGGATCGAGCTCAGCAGCTATTATAATATAATATAACACACAATAAAACATTTTGTATATTACCCAGATTATCCAAATATATCAGTGCATTATCGGTATATAGTATCTAGTATTTATTCTGTACAGTTTGCACTTCTCCAAATATGCATATTATCTGCATGTATCGGTACGATTATTCTTTTTTGTATAGTACATCCACTTCGTTAAATGCCTTTAGTCCTGGAATCCCCTTATTTTTATCTCAATTTGTGTAGCGGTTTGTGTCTTGTGTCTTGTTAATTGTGTTTGGCATTGAGGAGGAAGACTGTGCCACAATTTCGCTGTGCTAGTGTACGAAGTACGACTGTGCAATGACAATAAAGTCTTCTGAATTGAATTTGAATATAAAAACAATAATATTATTATACTTTATAAATACTATTACAAACATTAGTGTTGCAGTCAGACCTATCCACACACTCTGTTTTAGAGCTGCGCCAGTGCTGAAGAGTCAAACATTGTCTAACATTTATTTTAAAAGTATGACAGCATTATAATTTCAATTATCTCATTAATCAGCATTCTGAAGGTATATCATGTTCAGTCTCATTTAGTTAGACACTATGCTTTGAGTGGTTGTTACTTGTTAAGAACAGAAAAGTGTTGTACATTTACCGTTTACTTTATTTGCATTGATTTAAATGATCATACATTCATTTACAGTAAATCATGCCGTCCAGTGGTTTCCACAAATACAAACAAACCAGTGCAGGAAAACTGTGTGACACGTGGCTCAGTAGATTTTAGGGAATACTGACATTATGAGTCTCAAATCCTGAATTTTGATGTGTAACGAGTGTGACAAAGTACAAGAACTCTAGCTACAGAATCACTTCTATGCAAAAGTTCTCAGCAGTATCATGTCTGCTTGTCAGCACATTTCTGGGAAACAGATAAGCAAAATATTAAATGATGTGTATATGTGATGAGAGAAGTGACACAAAAATGTCAGTTTTCATTAAAATTGGACTCAGTATAGGTGCCTCCTGTTTAAATGGCTTCACATATATCTTTGTATTTCAGTGTTTGTAAGTAGATAATATTATCAAAGATCACCAATTATTTATCTTTTGTGGTCACAACATACAATACATATCTCACTGTCTCTATGAAAAGCTATAGATATATCCCTATATCTCAGCATCTGCTACTTAAGAGTTTCAACATTCTGTTTTTATCTGTTTATTTTCTGTTAATCTGCCAACATAATAAGAGCACTAAATCACTGAAGTACTCCTTTACGTTTGAATAATAATAATATGTATAAATATGAAAACGGACGATGAACAGTTTTAGCTTGACTGCTGTCACTTTTTCATCAGTTCATTGTAGACAGGCATTAAGACAACTTGAGAATATCTTTATATAAACTCAAAGTTACTTTAATAAATGAGAAACAAGTCCTTTCAGCGGTGAAATATGTTTTAGTTTAAATGAGTTTGAGACTTTCGAAAGGCAAAATAGTACCAGGTTACAAATCTACTTCATTCTAATTGACACTAAATGTGAGCACACTGTTAGTGAAGTGAATATACCTTACACAGTTTTTGCTTTCTCCTTACTATAAGAATCTGTTATTTATATATGCAGTCAATAGACCATATTCAAACGGCTGCCACTTTTCTCTGACATTAGGCACAGGTCTCATGTACCTCCAGATATCCCTTGTCTTTTCTGAAACTGATTGGTTATGGACTTATGAAATGATAACCATTAGTCAGATTCCCTGTGTTTATATGATTTATTAGCCTGAATCACAGCAGTACAACATTATTTTGTTTATAAAAGTATTTGAGCTCCCCACCCTAACTGTGATGTCAGAGGAAAATGGTAATCTTGTGGATATGGTTTATTGGAGTATTAACACTGATTCTAGTCACTTTGTTAACTGAGTTGATGCATGTGTCATCAGGATAAACAAGTTCTAATTATAATGACCAGAGGGCTGACAGGAGTAGTTTTACCTAGTTAACATCCATATTCCCTCTCTGTCTGACATGACACCACAGAGGGCAGTGAGTGCTGAGTTCAGGGTTCTGTAGTCACAGTCTCTATGGGCTCCACCTGGGGTTCAGTGGGTGGGGTGGAGATCTCCTCCACCTGCTCTGAATCTGGTTCAGTCACAACTACAGCCACCTGCTGACACACAGAAAACAAAAGTTGAAGTGTGAACATGGCTTCCAGAAAATACCAATATCTGCATGCCGAAGAGTCCTTGGGCAAGATGCTGAACCTGGAATAGCCCCTCATAGATGTTGAATGCACTAATTGGAAGTCACTTTGGATAAAAGCATCAGTGTGTTGTGTTTGCTTAGTGGAAACACTGCTGCTCTAATCCTATTCTGAGAATAATAGCTTGAATTTATATGGCACCTTTCAAGAGACCCAAAGACAATTTGCATGTTTCCATGGGGACAAAACAGGATAGAAATAAACAGCACTAATGGCAGGGTGGAGCGTTAACTGAGGCTGAAGGCCTTGGTGAACAGGTGGTGTTTGAGGAGATTTTTTAAGCTGTCCAGAGAGCGTTGCAGATTTCAGCACGGAGAGAGTTCTAGAGTGCAGAGTGTAGGAAGTCAGTTAAACATGGTGGGGCTAGGGCATGGAGGGATTTATAGGTGAGAAGGAGGAGTTTGTAATTGATGCAGGCCTTTATTGGGAGCCAGCGGAGGTGAATGAGGGTCTGGGTGATGTGCTGCCAGGGCTGAGACCCTGGTGGCAGAGTTCTGCACATACTGATGTCTGTTCAGGACATTGCCTGGTACACAGGACAGGACTCTACAGTAATCCCGGCGGGAGGTGATGAAGGCATGAATGAGGGTTTTTGCCATGGATTCGGGGAGTGGGGGTTGGGGTTCAGCTGTGAACTGGGGGTCTGGCCAGGTGAAGGACACAGTTTGGGTTTTGAGGAGGGCGAGAGAGTCGAGACAGAGGGAAAGAGCAGTATTGTAGCTGACGATGAGGGGAAGCCAACAGCTGATCGGTGGATAACAGCCAACAGTCTTCAGAGATGGTGAGTACGCTGACTAGACAGACAGCACAGAGTTACTAAATTTAAGCCAGGAGCAAGAGATGGAATGAATCTGTTAGCAGTCAATTAGCAGGGGATCTAGTATCAATGAGAAGGTTGATTGCACTAAAAAACATTTTTGCCATGAAATACAAAGCACCTAGTTTTCTCTTGGGCTCAGATGGGTTCAGACAGAAAATGCTGCCCGAGCCGCACTCTGCTACATATGGCTCTGAAGCAATTGAAGAAAAGTACTTGGAGGTATAGGAAAAGTATTGTGAGGTAACACAAAGCTGATGCAAGACAATGCAAAAGCATTGCGAGGTAAGGTATGTCCTGCTTTGACTTGGCCCAAGAAGAGCAGGCAGCAGATGTCAACACAGCTGAAACGCTCTATTATCATTCAGAGCACAAATCAGAGACATGTGGAACCATAGTGTTATTATGGATGGGATAATGGTTGTCATGGTCACCCACATACCTGAGGTGGTCCGGCTGCAGCTGGAGCAGCCTGCACAGCTGGAGCAAGTGGGGGGCGGGTCTGTGGATAGACAGGTCTCTGGCTGGGAGCCTGCAGCACACACACACACACACAGACACAGTTTTTTGGGTTTGGGTATAGTGTATATGCATTTATACAGTATATAAATATGAATATATGTATGGATATAATGTAATGTATGTTAATGTAATGGTGTTGTTACAACAAGAATAGAAAATAGGTCAGGGTACAGTTGCTTCAATTTATTGAAGCGCTTCCCTTTCTGTAAATATACAGATTAAACTCTGGACATTGGACTGTTGGAGAAACACACACGCACACACTCACCTCTTTCCTATTCTTTAGTTATTTTTGTAAAAAAAAAAATGAAATCAAATGCAACGAGCATTGAACTTAATTCTAAAGAATATTAAGTCTGACATTTGAATTTGAATTAACAATATTAAAATATCCTACAATTAATACAATGGATTCTTTGGCTCTGTTAACAAACATTGCTCTTGAATATTAAACATTTGGTTCAGGATATATTTTACCAGGCCAATAAACATAATCAGCATCAAACGTAAAAAAAAAAAAACTACAGAATAAAAACATAAAATGCCTCCATGCTGCTCCTGTGGTTTCATCCAAGTGTCTGTAAGCCCCAACATTCAAATTCAACTTGAAATTGCATCATTTACACCATGTTATAAGCCTAAAAGTCTGCTAGTGAAAGTAGCAATGCACCCTGCGTGTGCCCGTGGGCGAGAGGTTGTGTGCAGTGTGTGTGGCCTATGTAACTAAATTGAGCAGTTTCGCTGCCCCTTCTGGGTAAATTATAACTTGAAGAGACTTAAGATATCAAAGTTCACCTGAGTTGCACCAGCAGCGAGGACACTGAGTCCAAACAGCATGGCAGTGATACAGATCAACAGCTCCAGCACCAGGAAGACCACCAGCGTCCCCAGGATCCCGTCAATCAACAGCTAAGTGTAGTCAGAACAAAGGAAAGTCTCAGGAAATGTTTTTTTAGGAGTTTAAGACATTTTTGTCTTCTACATGCACTGATCAAGACATTACATCAGCATGACCTATCTGACCAAAGTGTTACTTGTAACAGTAGTAAGTCACTTACTTTACATTTTTGCTCGATCAGCCCGGTGCATTTCCTGAAACAATGTTGCTGCAGTAGTAAAGACAAAGAATCATGGAGTGTGCTTTTTCACAACATGTTGTGTCTACTATAAATTCATGTGGTTCAAAATGTGCAGTCATATAGCAGGGATGTCTCTATATATGCTACATAGCCTGTGTACACAGGCTCCTATAGGTTTACTCATTCCCTCCACCAAAGACAAACAAAACACAGCCAATTTCCATGAAATTGAAGAGTGGAACATGACCCAAGGAAGAACCTATTACATTTTAGTGTGGATGCTGATCACGTGGCAAATCCAGGAATTGTTTTCACTTTCTTTAACATTCCATTTTTTAAAATAGATTTCTGTTTTCAAAAAATCAAGTTTTTCTTTTAAGTCCAAATCATCCTTTGTAAATCAATTTTTGTGTATGTAAAATGGCCTGTATATATACATATATATACAAAATGGTCTGTATATATATATATGTACATATACAGTATTCTCTAGTCACTCTAGTGTCCTCTAGTCACCATGTTATTGAGAGTAACATTCATCACCAAATGGAATAGGTTTAATGGTGGTGATGACACCACAAAATCGACCTGAATAACGTTTTCTTTTTCAGAATGTGGTCTTGTAACAGCAGCTTGTTCGAAACCAAACTCAGCCAAAGACTCTTAACTTGATCCAAAGCATTTTTCTTCTACTCATCCAGTTTAGCTTCATCTTTCCAACTGTGATGATGTATAAGATTGTTGAGTTTTTCATCAATGTGACTGGATCCTGACACTGGTTTGTCTTTTTCTTCTAGGAAAGCACTACATTCCATACTCCTCTTTAGTTGTCTCCATGATGCATTTCATTTATTCTGTCCATGACCTGACACAGCCAAGAGGGACCACCCTGTAGAAAAAGGCAGTAAATCTAGGCAGTAAATGAGAGAATGATCACTATAATGAAAACACAGTGAGCAGCTGGACGAACAGAAGGGCAATTACAAGGAGTAAAGAATCCTCATACAGTATTTCAAAATAATTACATCTTGAGTCAGTCTGAAAGTTAGACTGGGTCTATACAAGTTTGAAGTTGGTGAAATCACACACAGTGGGGCTGTGGTGAACAGGGTTTGCTCTGTCTGTCTGCCTGTTTGCCTGCCTGTGGCCATGTCTGACCTGGTATTAACGTCCTAAGTGATCAGATCACAAATGGGCTGCATTAAGTTTGTCTTGTCGCACCTGGCATTAAATTGTGTGCAAGATGTGTCTCCAGTGACCACTTATGATTAGATCTCACTTCCCCACTTCATATGCAAGTAATTAGGTACATCATTTAGGTACGTTTGCACCAATCCAGTCTGAGAAAACAGGTGTGTCCTATGACAATGGTCAGTGTCAACATGGACAGTTAGGAGCCATGTTTAGCTTGGATGTTTTAAATATGAAGCCCAATGATTTTATTTTTGTAACATTGCAATTCCACTTTTTATTGAAATTGTAATATTGCTCCTTCTTATTCTGAAATTTTGGTCAGGTTCATTTTTGTTTTTGAAACGCTGGTTTTGAATTCACACAATAATAATAATAATAACAGACAAAATCATGGACTGCACTTTTATAATGATAGTAAGTGGATTTGACACATTAAAGTCCAACAGTTCATAAGCAAAGATAGACACTACCAACTAATCATGGTCATTAAATACTTGTAATTTGTGTATATGAAATAAATGTGTTTATCCACTTCAGTTCAATTAAATTTTATTTGTATAGCTCCAAATCATACTATACATTATCTCAAGGCACTTTACGTAGAAGGTCAAGACCTTAAAATCTTATTTAATATAGAGAAAATCAAGAGTTCCCACAATGAGCAGCACTTTGGAGACTGCGGAGATGAAAAACTCCCTCATTAATATATGAGTAACAGTACTTTTCACAGTGACTGTGACATTTTCTTATTTTGATTAAAACTAACAGACAAAGAGAAAGGTGTTTTATGTATCTAGGGATACATTTCTGTCCTGCAAACATTGTTTCATTCTTGCACCAGGCAAGACTCATATTTATAAGAGAAAATCAGAAACTGATTTTAACCCCAAACTGAATTTTCTGGAAGCCATTTTGTAATGGTGTTAGGGCCAGTCAATCGGAATAACTGCTGATTTTGGAATTCCGTGATGAACTTTGGATGTTGGTTCAAATCAGGCTGTGCCATGATAAGCCACAGAGAATCACAGTACATTTTGTTGCAGAACTAGCTACAAATATGGCTGTGTCTGCCACTATTAAAACCCCTCTGTGTAGGTTTTAAAGACATTACCACAGCATGTAGCTCCAGTCTGCGACAGTGTTCACAGTGGTAAGAGTCCTGGCGGTAGGGGAGGTGTTTGGACATCAGACCCAGGGCAGCAGTGGCAAATGCGGCACTGATGAGATGCAGCACGAGCATGCATTTCACCTGCAAATGACAAAGGCAGTGCACATGTACAATAGTGTAAGTACACAAACCCAAAAACATAAAAAACTAGAAAACAACTGTTTTATGATACTGCTTTATTTATGTTCTATTATTATTATTAATATTATTTATATAGGCCCTATGTGTTTTTTGTAAGGATTATGCAAAACAAATTTCCACAAAACTTGACAGAGGAATGTGAGATATGTGACATAGGCCAAGAAAAAAACATTCGGGCCCATAGGGGAAGATCCAGGAATTTTTTGTCACCCACTTAAACCTTGAAAGATGAGGTCTTTTTTTTTTTACATTAAGAATTTTTTTCCCCCCAAGGAATATTGCATGGATCTTGATAATAAAAACTGAAACAATATCTGTGCGTAAATTAAATTTGGTGCAGATCCAAATAAAACCATGGATCTAATGGATTTAAATGTGATTTCATCAGGGGACTGGTGGGCCTTGGTGGAGTTACACAAAATATATCAAACTGAACACAGAGCTGCAGCCGTATCTGCTGTTACTGCTACTTCCTCACAGTGAAACTCAAGGCCTAAGTGCTGAAGAGTGCTGTAGGGTGATCTGCATCACAACTTGAAATGGTCCCGACTGTATCACAGAGCTTTGATTTCTGTAGAAGCCAGACTTACCCAGAATAGAGTAGGTCTCCTCCCACTATGGACCAACACAGAACCAGACAGGGTCACCTGGAGGGGTTACAGTACAACACACTTACATACAGAATTTGGAAGAAATGTAAGTTTTTTTAATGAAATATTCAAGTCCATCATCATGCAGTACTGAGAAAAATAAGAAAGACACACTGAGTTGGGATCTATCTATGCATTGATTAACAGTACCCACACTTTCCATGCCTGTAGAGTGACTATCAAATTCGCTACAGGATAGTCGCCGGACGCGCTTGCTGTTCAATAAGACTTCAATCCAAAAGACTGCTGGTTTGTGTATATTTATTTAGGGCTAGAAAAAACAAGCAGTGAAATGTTCCCATTCTCCAATAAATATCAAGTCAGTGCATTTGGTTGATATAATGCGGTCAGCAAAGTAGGACTTCCCCCCTCACCCTCTCGTTCCTTCATTCACCCGGTGAGGAACATCTGATTTTACTAATACCTGCTGACGTACCACCACCACGTGACTCAGATCCCCGTATGTGACCATAGCAACAAACTTAACATTACAAACAATACTAGCTGGCTCCAAAATGCCTTTAAAGCCATTTACAGACATGAACTCCAGAGGATGTCCGCACAATTAGTTCCACACCTCCTCCAGATATTGATTTTCATACATTAATAACATAGCAGGACATTATCTGGTCACAACAACACACAAACTTTTGTAGCATTTAGGTGAGGTGTGGTGCCGCATGCAGAGGCAAGACGTAACAGATGAATTTCGCAGATTGACACCTGCTGTCTGCCTTAATCACCAAAAGCTCTCTTGACATCTTCGTCGGTATCTTCTGTGTATGGGACCTCTTTTTCAATCTGAGATATTTGTATTTATTTGTTTGTCTTTTTTAGCTTTGAACCTGTGATATTATAGATCTCAACACCTCTTTCCATAGAAAGGTGAGATGTGATAGACCTGAACCAGGACGACTTGTTAGTCAATTGTGGTGCCGATCTGAATTTTGTGAAGACCGGTGAAAGCAAACTCAGGGGCTGCGTTCAGCCATTTTGCCACACCATTTTAAATGACTCCAGAATACATGAATTTTCACCACTTTGAATTTTGTGCAAAATTTCATGAGTTTTGGGGCATGTTTAGGGCCTGAAAAAGCCCCCCAAATAATTATTATAATCGGACGAACTTCAATAGGGCCTTCACACTAAATATGCATTAGGAACATCATAAATCGAGAGGAAGGGGGCCCACAGAGACTGCTTGTGAATAGGGCCCAGAATCTTGTGCTACGCCTCTGCCAATTGCTCAAAGTCAATCCACTAAATGATCTCCTGCAGTTTTCTCACATTGGCTCATTTAGATATTATCTGAATATGACTCCAGAGAGGCCAGAGAAACTCCTGGAGAAAGTTTGGAGCATCTCACTTGGACATTTGTGTTTTCACATGCAGCTCCTTCAGAGAATCTCCAGAGATTCTATAGAGTTCAGTACATGTTTGAAAGCAGCTGAACTGACCTGTATGACAACGATCAGGAAGAGGGCCACATCCCCTGTAAAGTGGACCTCATGGATCTGGAGCACAGACCCACTGAGACAAAGAATCAAAGCCCCAATAACAATCTGGATTGCCTGAGTGAGGGAAAAGTCATGAAGTCAGCGCATGTAGCCTTATCAGAACAGAACAGAAAAGAATTGGATGTTTGTTTGAGACAAATGCACATGAGATGCTGTAGAATCACTGACTGACAGGGTGCTTGCTTGTTATGGTAACTAACTATTAGGTTTCTCAATAATACTGTAAGTCTTGACCTTACGATCTAGATACTACTAAATAAATAAAATATAACTGAATATAATAAAATTTTATTGAACTGAATTGATTTTAATTGAATTGCTCACCCCCAGAGTTTTGGGCTCCATCTTGAGGTGGGACTGCAGTTGACCTGAGGAGAGTGTCCCCACTGCAGGTATTGGGTCTTTATCATTTAGAGCCATCCTGTTGAAGAAAGACAAATGACAGCTTTAACAGAACAGTAGATAGAGATGTATTTAGTCCAAGAGAAAGTAATGGGTAATGGGAAAGTAATGGAAGGGATTGACCTCAGAGACTGGTCTGTCTAATTATGTGCCTTAACAGAATGGTTTAACAGAATTCAACTGAGGTGCTGGCAGGAACATGCCAATGAATAAGAAATACATTGATTGCTGACACAAGGGAGGGAAGACTACTAGCTCTAGCTAGCTCTATCTTCTCTCCCCTCGTTTCCACCCATCTCCCCTCTCCTCCCCATTTTTCTCTGTCCCCCCCCAACCAGTCGAGGCAGATGACTGCCCACATTGAGCCTGGTTCTTCTAGAGGTTCCTCCCTGTTAATGAGGGAGTTTTTCCTCCACAGTCACCAAAGTGCTGCTCATTGTGGGAACTGTTGGGTTTCTCTATATTAAGGTCTTGACCTTCTATGTAAAGTGCCTTGAGATAATGTATATTATGATTTGGCGCTATACAAATAAAACTGAATTGAATTGAATAGCTGAAAGATGTACACAGTGTATGCTCCAAGAGGAAAGAAACACCTTAAAAGTGTCTCTTCAGCTTTAAGAGTAATCACAAGCCGGTGTGTACTGGGAACAGTTTCACCTGTGTTGTGGTATGCTCTGGCCAATAGTGTTGAGGGGGTGCAAATTATATGACTGTTGGGACACCAGAGTTCAGTCCACCAGATATTGTAATAAAAATCCAAATATAGTTCCTCCATGTGTGTATATGTGTTTGCATATATGTGTCTTTGTGTGCATGTAGAAGGGGAGCGGCTCTACAGTGCCACTAGAGGAAGAAAATCCACAGGGTTGATATGAGACAGAAGCCCTGGGACTTCGTATCCCATTCATATCTGTCCTGGGAGAGGGATCCCTCACATGTGGCTCTCTCTAAGGTTTCTAAGTTATTTTTTTCCCTGTTTTTGGTAGTTTTTCCTTACTCTTGTTGAGGGTTAAGGACTGAGGATGTCACAGCTTGTTAAAGCACTGTGAGACAAATTGTGATTTGTGAATATGGGCTATACAAATAAAACTAATAAATTTGATTGATATCCTGGTACAGAAAGTTGCATTTCCAAAACATAAGAAGAAATATAGTGAAAGGGACAATCAAGATCATTGGTAGGCAGCAGGTGTTCTTGTCCAATATCTTTCATCTCCAGGTCTTAAAAAAGGCAAGATCAACATTAAGGACCCAAGACCATCGCCTTTTTGACACATTCAACATACAGGGTTCCTGGAAAAAGTGCAATAGATTTAACTTTTCTTTTTTATCTAAGAAATATATAGTTAATTTATATGAGATGTAATCTATGGCAGCCTTGAGCGATCAACTAACTCGCAAGTTCTCGCGAGACGAGATTGGCGATATTGCAAAAACTTCCACAACAGCTGCAGCAGACAAGGAACAGGATAACACATGGTCTAAATGATGCTGTTTCAAGTCGAATTTGAATGTGGGGGCTTACAGTCACTTGGCTGACACCACAGGAGCAGTGTGGAGGCATTTAATATTCAATCATGTTGTTTTTTTACATTTGAAGAATCGGTCGCCATTTATTTCAATTATATTGGAGTTGGCTGCAATGCTGTTTACCCCTGAAACTCCAAAAGTGTTTTGTGGACTCAAACTGTTCACCCGCCCCTCCATTGGCATACTGTTGAGTAAAATGAGTGAATTTTCATTTTTGGGTGAACTATCCCTTTCAGCAATGTTTTTCATTTGTTTTATATTCTTAATGTAATATTTGATAAGTATGTTGGTCTAAGATTTATGTTATCTTATTGTAATTATAACAGTAACAAACTAAATCAAGCTCACCAGTTTTTACAAACAAGCCCTTGAAGCTTGGATAGTGGATTTCAAGCATAATTCTTCTTTACATTCATGCCAGATCTGGAACATGAGCATGTTTTGTTTAGAAACAAACCCAGATACATAAAAGAATGGATTGACAATGGTATAATATTTGTGTCAGACGGACAAATTCATAAGGAGACTTCTGTGGACATAAGGACTTTATTCAGACTTGAACATTTCTCCAAAGGAATATAACTGTAAAAAAGTATATCACCAAAGCTACAGTTTCTCATTCTGGAATGAACAAAAAGCAGCGTCATGTCCCCTGTGGAACAATTGGGCTGAGGATGTAATTCCAGGCACTGTCATGTTGTCCCCTGATATAATGTTATCTAAGGAGGTGGAGCAGATCGTTCTCTTAAGGGTTGTAAATTCCATCCACGTCTTCCTCATCCCGTGTGCTGGGCATGGGCAAGATACTGAAGCCTGAATTGCCCCTGACGACTGTGCTGGCAATGTACGGTGGTGTACAATAGAGAAAAGGTTCCACATAGATGCACTGTATGAATGTGTGTCTGAGTGAATGGATGGCAAAACTGCTTTGAGTGGTCATCAAGACTAGAAAAGTGCTATATAAATACAAACCATTTACCATATGATGTGTTAGTCTGACTGTGACCACGTTATTGAGATGATCTCTCTCTCTTTCTCCTCAGAGATGAGTAAACACAGATGTCACACAGATGTTTTCAACATGGGATCATTTCCAATAGCCTCTATCAACACTGAGAGAGTAAACATGCTGCATGCAGGTGATGTGGATGTGTCTCATCTAGGCCTGTCTTTGTGCAGAAAGCCTGCAGGCTGACTCCCAGCTCTGACCTGCAATTAGACGTGAGTCAGCAAAACCAAGGACCTCTGCTTCTCTAGCATCGCTCTGTCATGTATGAACATGACGACCTCTGTCGGCTGCAGCAGCAGCCACAGCACAAGTGTATTTGTGTGAACTCAAGAGCACAAACACAGAGCTGACATCCATCCAGTCCTTCATGGAATTTAAAATGAGGACACATGATGCCTGAAAAGTCCGCAGCGGGACCTGGCACCGCTCCAGGAGCCGACGCGACATACCAAATGATCATGAAATGTCCAGGTGTTCCACGTGGATTCATTGGATAAACATGATATACATGATCAGTATCCGAAGTAATGTTTCCATACACACGCAAACATTGACGCAAAATGAACACTGACGCTTGTTTCCAAGGACACTCCGCCGTCTCCACTGTCTCAGACGACCTGTCCTTGTTTGTCCTGCGTAAGATAAGAAGGTGAACAGAGCATCTTACCTGAACTGTGTTCTAGCAGCTCACCGAATGTTCACAGCAGAATGAGCTCAGTGTGGCTGCTCTGCAGGCTGCAGCGGGGTGTGTTCCAGAGCTGGGATTCACTGCAGCAAAGTAATGCTGCCACTATTTTGTCTGATGCAATTCACAAGCATGACCGCAGCCTCCAGCAGCCAGAGCATTACATAACCCTGGATCCTGACAAGTCCAAATCCCCGCCCAAAAAAAATCTAGATTCTGTGGAAATGCTGCTTTGTCAATGGAAATAAATAATAAATAAAAGTTTAAACGTAGAAAGTGAGCTCCACACACACACACACACACACACACACACACACACACACACA